GCAACAAGAAAATCTCTAAACATTTAGAAATTTTAAAACACACTTCTAAATAATCTATGAGTCAAGGAGGAAGGCTCAAGGGAGATTTTAAAAACTGAGAGAACTAAATAAAACTGAAAGTACAACATATCAAAATCTGTAAGATGCAACTAAAGAAGTGTTGAGAGGGAAAATTATAGCAATAAATATCCAAGTTAGAAAAGAGAGATTTTTTTCCAGGTATGCAAGGCTGGTCCAATGTTCTAAAATAAATCAATGTAATCCACCATATCAAATAGCTAATGAAGAAAATCAATTGACACAAAAAAGTCACTAATGAAACACAACACCTAATAACAGTAAAAAAAAAAAAACAAACTCTCAGTACACTAGGAAAAGAAAAGAACTTCCTCAATTTCATAAAGAGCATCTACAAAATAGACAGCTAACTTTATACTTAATGGTGAAAGACTGAATGTTTTCCCTTTAAAATAAAGAACAGGAAAGGACACCCACTCTCACCACTCTTATTTTAGCCACTGCAACAAAGAAAGAAAAGAAAATTAAAGGCATAAGGATTTGAAAATAAGGAATAAAACCATTCCTATAGCAAATTACATGATTGTATACATAAAAAATCCCACAGAATCTACAGAAAACTCCAAGAACTAATAAGTAAATTAAAAATATTATTAGTATTGTTATTAACAATAAAGTAACAGAATACAAGATCAATATACAAAAATCAATTGCATTTATATATACTGAGAATGAAAAAATGGAAATCAAAATAAAAACACAATCCAATTTACAATTGCTCCAAAGAAAAACAAATAGTTATAAATTTAACAAAACATGTACATGATGCATGTGATGAAAAATTATAAAAGAAATCAAAGAAGACCTACATAGATGGGGAGATATACCATGTTCATGGACTTCAAGGCCATTCTAAGATATATATGGAAAGAGAAAGGCCATAAAGTAGCCAAAAAAATTTTGAGGGAAAAAAAGTGGGAGGATCCCTCTTCCCAATGTCAACACTTATGATATATATGCAGTAATCAAGATAGCGTGGTACTGGTGGAAGAATAGACACCGAGATCAATGGAACAGAATAAATAACTCAGAAGTATAGCCACACAAATATGGCCAATTAGCTTTTAACAAAGAAGTAAAAGCAATTCAAGAAACTTCCAATAAACTTTTTAACAAATAGTGCTGGAGCAATTAGACATCCATAGGTTAAAAAATGGATCTCCCTCTAAAGGTCACACTTTGAAAAAAAACTCAAAACGGATCATGGACTTAAACAGAAAAAGGAAAACTACAAAACTTTTACTTTTAAAAAAAAGTAAAAGTGTAAAAAAAATGCAAAAAATAAAAATTTTAGGAAAGAACATAGGAAAAAATCTTTGGGACCTAAGTCTAGGCAAAGAGTTCTTAAACTTGACACCAAAAGCACAATCTATAAAAGGAAAAATTTATCAACTAGACTGAGAGAAAATATTTGCAAACCACATATCTAACAAGACCTTATATCTAGAATACACAAAGAACACTTAAAACTCAACATTAAAAAACCATTTTTAAATGTTCATGTAGCTTTGTTTGTAATAGTCCCACACTGAAAAAAACATTTTTAACCATTCAAAGGATGAATGCTTAAACAAACCACTCCACCTATACCATGAAATGTTATTCAGTAATAAAAAGGAACAAACTATGGATATATGCAACAATTTAGACGAACCTCAAGGAAATCGTACTGAGTGAATAAAGCCAATAACAAAAGAATACATACTACCTTATTGCATTATAAAGCATTGGTGAAATAACATAATGGTAGAGAGGGAAAACAGATTAGTAGTGGCCAGGCCTTAGGAATGGTGGGGAAGGGGCTGGGTGTGGCTATACGGGGCTATTACAGGGAGCCTGTGGTGAGGGTACAGTTGAGTATCTTTACTGTGGTGCTGGTTACACAAGGCTAAAGATATAAAATTACATAGATCCATACGTGCACACACACACACACAAATGAGTGTATGTATAACCAGTGAAATCTGAATAAGCTCTATGGATCATACCAATGTCAATTTCTTGGTCTTGGTACAGAACCACAGCTGTGAAATAACACGTTAACATTGAGGGAGGCTGGGGAAGGGTGCACGGGACTTCCCTGTACATTTCTTTGCAACCTCCAGTGAATCTGTAATTATTTCAAAACAAAAAAGATTTTTTAAATAGACAATATAGCCAGAAGATTATAATATGGAGCAGCTGGGAGGTGATGCCTTATCCTACGGGGCACCAGTTCATCTCACTGACTAACAAGGAGTCCAAGGGTGCCCTCAATGAGCCAATATCAATGAACAAATGTATTTGGTTTCTTCTCACCTGTGGTTTCTGCCAGGGTAGAAGCCATGTTGAATTGGTGTCTTTATAGAACTTTTATAACCTCAGGATGGCTGTTGGGAGGGAGCGAAAGGGTTTTTTTTTTTTCTGAATGGCTATTAATAATGGCTATTAATTAATGAAAGATTAATAAATATTTACAAACTATATAATTTTCAAAAGTTGTGCAATTATACAAAAAAAAAATACAAACCTTAGAATAACAGAGAAGTCTTTTCAAAAATAAATTGGCACTGGACTATATTTTTTTGATTACTAGTGACTAACTGATTAAAGCACATTGAATTTATTAAATCCATAAGTTCAAAATTATATTCAGAAAAACAGAAGAGAGACACAAACTCAGTGCACACCACCGGAAGTTGCTAAGGCAACAACTCACTACTATGAAAATCAACAATTAAAGAAAAATAATTTATGTTATATTTCTGGCATGTAATGAGTTTCACATTAAGGAAATTGAGAGAAAGCTGTTCAATACAGAATGACATTTATAAATGCAGATAGAATGGAAGAATTAGAAAGTTTATTGTAAATGCTAATGAAGTTATTGATTTAGGCAATGGTCCCTGATATTAAAACCATTAGGAGCAAAGGTAAGAGGGAGCTTGACAATAAACAGGCCAGGCTGCCACCAGCTAAATTCACTGATCAATCTCAGCATCCCTGAAAGGGAGACATCCAGACATCACGCTCCTCCTCTTTGATGCAATTCAAACTCCCAGCACACCTGTGAAGTATGTAGGCCCCAAAAGTGAACCTGAAGGCTCCAGAAGTAAATTGCAGTCTGTAGGAAATAGAGAGGATCAAGTAACAAATTAATCCTATGAGGAACCCATCAGCCCAATCCAAGGTGCAGGATATTCTACAGAACAACAGAATAGGATTTTCCAACTAGATGGTGGGGCAGTAAAGACTTAACCTGCAGGCCTGAGGTTGCCATCATTAGAAGGGCCTTCAGAAGAGCCTGCTCTAGGGTTGGCCCTTGGCTGGTATCTGGGTACTTGGCTTTGGAATGTTCCCTATGTTACCAAGTGATAAGGTTGTTCTGTGGGCATGGAGCACTGCATTCTGCTGCACCAGCATGCCGAGACTTTTTGTATAAAAAATGTTATTTATGGTTTTAACACCTGCCTTCCTTCTGGGAGGCTGGGACTTTGGCAGGCTAAGGGTGTCTGTGTGATAAGCCCCCAACAAAACTTTGGGCTCTGAGTCTCAAGCAGGCTTCCCTGGGCAGAAACAGTGCTGCTAGAGGAAGGGGCGTGTTCTGTGTGGACCCTTCCAGGAGAGGAGACCTTTCAGAAGCCTATTCTTGGACTCCTCTAGACTCTTCCTCATGAGTCTTCTCCCATTCCTGGTCATAGTAGTAGACCACAACCCAGAGCACAGCTTCCTCTGAGTCTGGGAGTCCTTCTAAAAACCCACAGAGTATGTGAGTGGTCATGGGAACCCCAAAACAATGATACTATTAATTGAAAAGAGAATAGAGCTGCTCTAGAATAAAAGAGACAGAAGAGATACAACTAAACCAATGAGTAGACCTTGTGGGACAACTGGGGGCTCAACTTCCTGGAGCTGACATTCTTCCCCAGGCAGACTAGACAACTGCAGGCAAACTTCTGGAACTTTTCTGGCCACTCCTCTCTCCGACGGCTGCAAGGCATTTCTGATACCTATCTGACACTCAAGAAGAAATACCCCTTCAGAACCACATCCTCTACTGATCTTCCAGGCTTGATCTACTGTAGCCAACAGACTCGTCAATGTGTTGCTGTAAATCTGGTTTCACAATTAAACCAATGATGGATCTACCGAGCCCAGACATGGTCTACATTCTGCTTCGTGCTATTAAAGTTAGAGCCACAATAAAAGTTTCCCAGAAACACTGAATTTATAGGACAGCAGATCATCTGTGAAAAGGCCCACTAGCTGAGTTGATGAAATGTAACAGATAATAATCCTTCCCCACATACCCCGAGGTCTCCTGAGTCCCCGTCATGCACACAATCCTATGAAGCAGGTCGGGGACATATGAACCTGCCCATCTTATAAGAAAATCCTGCATCTCAGAGAGGCTTAACACTTGTCCCCGCAGGGTCACACTTCCAGTGAGGGTGAGAAAATCCCATGCATATTTAGTTTTTTCAGGTAACTTTTGCCAGTGCCTGCCAAAACTCAGCTTGCATATGTCAGTTGTCAAGACTCAACAAATATTCCAGCACAAGTCAATTTTCTTCCTAGAATGAGGGAAATGTTATTTTTGAGGAAAGATACTATTGCAATTTGATTAAGAAGCAGGACTGAGGGGGCCAGCCCCATGGCTGAATGGTTAAGTTCATAGGTTCTGCTTCAGTGGCCCAGGATTTTGTGGGTTTGGATCCTGGGCACAGACATAGCACTGCTCATCAAGCCATGCTGATGTGGGATCCCACATAGCACAACCAGAAGGACCTACAACTAGAATATACAACTATGTGCTGGGGGGCTTTGGGGAGAAGAAGAAAAAGAAAAAAGAGAAGCAAGACTCAGACCATCCAGAGCACCCAAGTTAAAAGACACTTACTTGTGGGCACAGATGAATCTAGGAGAGCAAGCATGAAAGTTACCTCAAATATAATCAGCACGTAGACACCAGCAAGGATGACTGCGGCAATGGTCACTTGTGCCTCCACGCTTGCCCGGAGGTACTGATGAGCCATCAGAAGAGGAATAGCCGGGGTCTGCTGGAGGGAGGCTCGAATGCTGATGGAAACAGTGTCTCTGCAGAATGAAGCAAAAGTTTTACTGCTGGTAAGGGAAACAGACCTACATCAATAACTAGTGCCTGCTCCCTTGGTGTCTTTCCCAACATAAGTCATCCATGGCCATAACCAGGGCCCAAACTGACCTTAGAGTGATTCAACCCAATGCCTGACCTGGCAGGAGAGGAGCTCTGAGCATAGGTGAGCAGTGTGAGATGCCACCCCCCGCTCATGCCCAGGCCCATCTGATGTAGGCTCCTCAGCTCACATCAGGCAGCATCTGCCTCACTGCAGGTGCCACTCCAACAATTAACAGGGAGCAGGGATGTTCACATTGGTTATAGCCATTTAATTTTCTCTCCTCCTCCTCACCACACACCTGACTGCTTTTCCCACTAACAAATAGCAAAGCCAACTTTTCTCACATGTGAGAAATTCAGAAAATGACCATGTGCACCCTGAGAACACGTAGACAGGTTGTCACTGATAGCAGGGAAAAACCACCAAGAAGCATGCAAGTAATCAACAGTATGTGGCCTGCTGACACTACAGCACTTTCCTGAATGTTCAGTCAGTAACTGTTCTGACCTGAATTGTGTCTCCCCAAAATTCATACATTGGCATCCTAACACTCAGTACTTCAGAATGTGACCGTTTGGAGACAGAGTCTCTACAGAGGTGATTAATTTAAAATGAGGCTGTTATGGTGGCCCTAATCCAATCTGACTGGTGTCCTTATAAGAAGAGGAGATTGGGACACAGACACATACAGAGGGAATGCGAAAACACCGCAAGAAGATGGCCATCTACATGCCAAAGAGAGAATCCTCAGAAGAGACGAACCCTGCTGACACCTTAAGGAAATAAATTTCTCTTGTTTAAGTCACTCAGTCTGTGGTATTTGTTATGGGAGGCCTAGCAAACTCACACAATAACCAAGAGTGCAGACTTAATATAGAGTTGCATTAATTAGAAGAAAAAGACAGGATCCTAAAATTTCCTAGAACACCCATTGTATAGCTTCACAATATTAATGAAATTAAAGCATCATCTGCAAAATATCATTTTCTGCCAAATGGACTCTGCAATCAACCCTCTTATCTCCTGACACGTGTGGTTAAGATGCCCTCGCACATCCTTCGTGTTCATTGCCTACACAGGAAGAGCGACTCATCCGAGCCACATAACTGATCCAGCTATTTATGCCAAAAATCAGAGTCCCAGATCAAACTTCTTTAGGTGAACATGTCCCAGAGCACCCTCCCCCAAGACCTCCTCACCTAAGACTCACCTGCTTAGTACCTCAAAGGTCTTGCTCACCACCGAGCGCTCATTTCTTCTTGGGTTTAAAAATATTGTCCAATTATGAGTGACCTGTAAAAGTCAAAGGTAAAATCATGTTAAGGCTTTTAGCCTGAAAGTAAGCTGAGATCTGGCACTATTCAGTGTAGGTGCTGGTTTGGAGTAAGAAAAGGAGAAAGAGGAATAGCAAGGCCTCTTACGTGGCTCCCAGATCCCTGACACTAGAGCATGCCCAGGTGGTATAGAGCAGGAAATTTCCACAACTTGGAGGCTTTGCTTAAGAAAGAAGAATACGGAAGTATGAATACAGAATTTGTGTATGAAGGTCTAGAAGTAAACACAGATTTATTATGACACAAGGAAATCATTGCACGGTACTAGAGACTTGGAGTCTTTGAGGCCTCTGAGGCAACTAAGGAGAAATGCTTGCTTAGAACTGCTTCCTGCTCCAAAGCGGAGGCAGGAAACTCCACACCCATGTCACAGGGGCCCACAGGAGGGATGACTGAGGACAGAGTTGCCTCTGCTGCAGGCAAATCCACCCCGGCATGTTCTTGTTGAGAGCAGGGTAGAGGAGAAACGAGTTGAGGGGACCAGTTATGAGCAGAGGGAGGGCTGACCAGGGCAGAGGTGGGTGGCCTGACTGAGAGGCCAGGGAACTTTATGGGAGGACAAGAATCTTGTTGCCCACAGATCATAAAGGAAACTGAAAATAGGAACTCTGAAATTGATCAAAGCATGAATGAGAGAACATAAGTTCTCTTAAAACACTTTGGTGTTTGGAAAAAGCATATTAGAAAAAAATCCTTTAGTAAAGATCTCTTGTGTTCTTTGTGTTTCTGGAGCTGGATTTACATGTGGGCTGCAGAGCAGGGAAGCTCCATACCAGCCCTTGGGCAGGCAGCTACGCCAGCAGGCTGCGAAAGGTCACGCCCTCCTCCACGCAAGGCTCATAGACAAAGCAGACAGAGGTGTGCCCACCCCATTTTTACGGAGGAGCCCTCAGCAGCAGGCTGTGCACTTGCATGTGCAAAAGCCGAGTTTACATCCTAAGACCACGGCCAGGGAGACCGGTTTAGAACATCAGTGCTGCACTGGCCACTGCCCGTAAAACTGCAGCCTTGTTCATAAGTAAGACCTTTGCTCTGTGGAGCCTGCTCTGCACAGCAGGAAAATGTGAGGAGTGCGGTAACCCATCAGATGCTCCATTTTGGATGACACAGCCTTGTGCACCAGCAGGGTTTTCTTCTATTGGTTATAACAGGGAAAACCTATGAACTAGGGATATGATTTCATACAGCAGTCAGCATCATAACCCAGGGGTGTCACCGAGGCTAGGAATTGGAGGATGGGTCAGGGTGCACAGAGAGGCGCCAGGCCTTGTCCGGGCTCTGCCATGGTGACAACACCACTAATGGCTCTCCCTGTCTTTGCAGGACAGGAACTGAAGTCTTTGTCTTCCAGATGCTGAGCACAGAACCTATCACTATGGAAGCTGAAGCTCAGGGACACCAAGCCCAGTCTGAGTCAAGTGTCCACAAACCCAAGGGAACAGTGGTGTTGGCGTGTCTTCTGTTCCATGAGGTAAGGCCCAGGTCCAACTGTACTTTAACAAAAAAACCAAATGCATAATGTTTCCCTAAATTGCCCAGTAAAATCATTCTGAATAAGAAACTTGCAAGCCTGATTTTACTGAAATGGCCAAAGTTTTATAAATTGACTCAGAGAAAAGGGGAAAGAGAACCTCAAAGACAAAGACTTGCCTAATCTCGGTGTCATTGCCTTATGTTCTCCCATCAAACCCATTCAAAGGAAATTCAATTTATAAAGAGATGAAATGAGCTTTTACAATTCTGTTTAAATAACTTATAAGTGTAACCTGCTGTGGCCGCCGCCATCTGGAGCCTGGAGCGTCCACCTGAGTCACTTCCACCACGATGTGCTCTTCTCTCCCAGGACGACTTGAGCTGCCAGCCACCAGGGCCCCTGCCAGGTCCACCTGGAGCAGCGTGGAATCCACATGGCTGCTGAGGTTCACAGCTGGGGGAGCATCAAGTTGAACCACAAAACAAGGAGGAGAGGCCTAGGTCCTCCCCCCACCTGCCAAGTGAACACTCTCCTTGGAAGGTGCACAAAGAAATGCATGTCCAGGCTGTTTTCTCCAACTGCGCTGCTGCCCTTGACTGACCCTCCTTACCTCTTCAGCCCCTCACTCCTGACGTGTGCAATTGGTTCTACATTGTTTAACTGTGTTCATTTTGCATCCTCTGGTTTAATGTCTAAGTGGTGTCTCCCTGTCCTACTATCATCTCTGCTTCCTCTTTTTGCAGCCAGCATGAAACTCCTACCCAAGCTCCTGGACCCCTAGATGAGTGGCAGACAGGATTGCTGCACAAATGAACAGACAGACCTATCCACTTCCATGCCCAAATCCTAAGGGCTCAGCCTCTACTTATAAGGTGAGAAATAACAAAGAGCACTGAAAATGAGAATTCTGAACCTCGCTAAATCAGTGCTGTCCACTGTGGTGAGAGGAGCGAAATCCCCTCAAAGATGTGAACGGCTCTTGACCAGGGAGAGTTATCAGGAAAGGAGGCTCCCTCCCTCAAAACATGATACTCACAGTGCTTATCCCCCCTGCAGCCTAGCCCCTCACCTCCCGCATCCCACATTTGGGTGCTGTACAAGTGTAGGAGCCTGTGCTACACGGCCCTTCTCTCTGCTCCAGGCCAACTCCCACCACTGCAGCAAGGTTCTGGGGGACACGACATGGAGTCTACACAGTGGCTAGCCCAGTCATTTTGACCCAGAAGAGACAACTTCTGTAGGTGGAAAAATGAATCTCAAAATGGTGTATGCTTTATGTGAGGTCTCAAAAGTCTTGGCAGCAGCTCACTGGTTGTGGGAGGATGCAGTAGCCAGTTCCTTTACTTTTCCTTAAAACCCTAAAAGAAACAGGTGGTTTATTAAGCAAACTTAGGCAGAAGGCAGAACTTCACTGCTGCCAGAGTGTCTACAGGATTTGCATTGAGTGTTGGGGAATGCCAGTGAATGGTTAATCCTTTTTCATTGTCTAGTTCCTCCATCAAAATGTAGTCATGCACCACATAATGGCATTTCGGTAATGACAAACTGCATATTCGATAGTGGTCCCATAAGATTAGCACCATGTAGCCTAGGTGTGTAGTAAGCTATACCATCCAGGTGTGTGTAAATATGCTCTATGATGTTCACATGATGAAACTGCCTAATGTATTTCTCCAAATGTGTCCCTGTTAAGTGACATATGACTGTACTGGTTTTTAAAAAATGTACAAAAACATCCTAGTAAAGAAAGTTTTATCAGCACTGTTGGCCGTATGAGACCCCAGAATGGGCAGCTGTCCCCAGCACTTGGTTGGTCTCCACCTATGCTGCTACTGGGGTCCCAAAAAGGACAAATGGAAAATAAAAGTCACACATAAGGCAGGATGTACTAAGAAAAGCTCAAAGAGACACTGCCGCTTCTGCCACACCAAAATTATTCCTGTCCTGGTCCTTCCCCAGGGCAGACACGGGATATGGAGCAGGGAGAAATTATTTCAGCACAAAATGGATTCTAGCTGCCTTGCAGAAACCCAGGAAATGGAACAGCACCATCTGGAGGCTAATATTGGAAGAGCAGTAGCTTCTCCCTCTAATAGTTAATGAATGTTTTTGGATCATCTATTGCGTACCAAGAGCGAAATGAATAAAACAAAGACTTTGTCCTCAGGAGTCTCATGCCCTAGCAGGGAGATGATTAGGGAATAATTAAAGCACCTTATGATTAACCATCCAAATAGAGACATGCAAAAATCCAAGAGTCACATGACACCATGTACTTCCAGCCTTCCTTTCCTCTGTCTTTCCAGATGTTCGCCATGTGCTTAGGATTCAAAACCCAGCAGGATGTTCTGGTGTCAGCAGTGACTTCCAGATCCCAGCAAACAGGAGCCTCTGGTGGAGGCCCACCCCTGCAGGCAGCTTTGATCCTTGCTTCCCAGCCATGTTGGACTGTCTGCCCTGCTCCTGATACACAGTCCCCTGCCTTTGCCTCAAATGCCTCCCCCAATCTGGAGAATCCCTCCTATCTTTTAAGATCTTGCTCAAGCTCCCCTCTCTTTAAACTTTTCCTTGCATCCACGACTCCAGGACCCTCTTGCTCTTTCCCACATTCCTCCATGGACAGGGCATACTCTGTTAAAGCATTTATTCACACCATACTGGGGTTTGTTTTAGATTTTTCTCCGCAACTGGTCTAGCTCCTCAAGAGAAAGAATCCTATCTTATTCATTTCTCTCCTCCTCTGGAGACCAATGTACTTCTTGTCAAATTAGATGTCCCCAACAAATATTTGTTTAACTGATAAATATTTGTTCATAGCATCATCCTTGACGTCCTCCGAACCTAGACCAGAGTCCCTGCCAGATGGGGCATGGAGAAGAGGAGACAGAAACCACCGCCTTCCCCTGACTGCATCAACCACGTCCTCCTGCCTTTCCCATCACCCAAATTTAAGCCATCTTTCAAGACCTAACCTGACACACCCCCTTAACCCTCCTCCCACTCTGTAAGCCCCTAGACCTCCCTCCAATGAGTTCCTCGCTAATTGTCTCCCTATTATTCCTCCAGTGAGCATGACCTCCTACTGGCTCTGGTTGTTCCAAGTCAGGTGGCTGTCCTGGAGGCCCAGGCCTGGTGGGGAGAAAGACAAGTGAGCAGAGCACTTCTGAACAGCAGGTGACACATGATGCTGCCAGGCATGGAACTAGTCTGAGAGAGCCTCTGGGCAGGCCTTCATTTCTACCTATTCTGTAGAGTCCTCTTGGGCTTACCCTTCAGTTTGCAGCAGAGCCTATCAAATGTCTCTCCTCGACCAAAGTCTAGTCAAGGTCCTCTAAACCCTCTTCTTGACTAGGCCTCATCCTTGGCCTGATGAGCCCAGTTCATCCAGAATCTCCCTACTATTGATACCCAAACAAGTTCCTCTTAGTAATTTTCCATCCTCTCCCTCACTCTGCCCACTGGTTGTAGATCCCCCACTGCCTCTGTTATGTTCAGAACTGAGTTCGATCTCTGCCCTATTGCAATAGTCTTGAGAAAAGTCTTCCTTGACTGTTTAACTCTGGCTGGCACAATTTTTCTTTGACACACTCTTTCTTTAATTGAATGGAGGTAAAAAAGAAATGGGGCCCCTTTGGACTCATCCTCATGATAAAAACAGGAGTAATGTTATTTGATAAAGTATGAAAGATTAAGGATTGATCAATTTATGAAAAATACATCTGTCTCATGCCAATGTTATTTTCTCCAGCATTTGGGACCAAATGCGTGAATAATTGCCCTTAATCTCTAGAGTGACTCTGGCCAATAGAATTCTCTGTGGTGATACAAATGTTTTAGTTCTGCACTATCTGATATGGTAGCCACTAACCACATGTGGCTATTGAGCACCTGAAATGTGGCTGATCTGAAGGAAGAAGTGACGCTTGAATGTTATTCACATCATTAATATAAATTTAAATTTAAAGAGCCACAGGTGGCCAGTGGCTACTATATTGGACAACATAGTTCTAAGGTAGTCTAGGGAGCTTAACACAAAAGTGAAGAAGAACAGGAAGGGACAAAATCCTTTAATGTGTCTAATGTTTCCTTGACCTACCCTGAGAAGCCAGGGCTACTATGCAGGGTGTGATGGAAAATGGACCATATGTCAAGAAAGGAAGGAAAGGAGGGAGGGAAGGAAGGATAGGAGGAAAGCCAGTGAGCAAGCCTAAGTAACCTGCTTATATATAACCTGGCTTACTGACCATTATTCATCTGCCTAATGACCTTGGGCAGGTCTCCCCTGTAACAAGCACAGACAACAATTCAGGAACAAAGCACCTCAAGTGCCTGCAATCACAGCCACTTCCTGTTTCCATGCTTTACTTGCAATTACTGAGGTGACAAAGCTCAACTGTTACAAAGAAGACACAAAAGTTCAC